CGTGTTGTGTAGGGAACCACGACCAACCAGATTGATTTCATGTGTGTCGTGTTGTGTAGGGAATTCGCAGATCAGACTGAAAATGTGATGCTGAAACATCACGAGACAAACATAAAAAAGACAAAAGAAAAGATTTTTTTTCCCCGTATTCTGTACCTGTGAGGCAGCAATTTTAGCCAAAAATGTATGAGGTGGTCTCCAAAAACCTTGAGGCGGCCTAGCCCATGGTTGAACTGGCAGGGGAAACACTGACACACACCCACATAGTGGGTACAGCGACTACCTTTGGGTATATCCCATTCAATTCCCCTCTTTTTCTGCAGAATTACCCCTGGAGAGTTGGCTGACCATAAAGAATTTGATTCAGACGGGGACGGGGAAGTGTCAGAAGAAGAAGCAAAGGTGAGTAAAGAATTGAAACACTTGAAGCTTATTCTGGTGTTCTCTCTTTTTCAAAATCTGATATTCAGTCACATGCATAGTAAGGCAAACTGGGTCTTGGCTTGCCTTTCAAAAATTTCAGGAATGAGATTTGGCCCAATTGTGGATTTCCTCATTGGCACAGCTTTGCCAAAATTATGAGTATTATTTTCTGAATTATTTTAAAAAATGAATGTAGGACTTAGGATTTAGGTTTGGAGTGCACCTTCTTGTGATAACATTGTTACTCTCGCTGGAATGCCACTAAATTGTTTGGATGTGTTGTTGAACCTTTCGGAATCGGCAAAGCTAGCTGTGTCCACATGCCATGCCCCTGCATTTGAGATTTGAGATATTTGTTTAAAATTACACGATATTAGCCAGTTTCTCATTTAAAGAAAATGTCTCAAGCTAATTTTGTATTTGCCACATGCGGTTCATCATTAGTCACTTCAGTTGAGCAAAATAACTCAAAAAGTAATTGATTGTGGTGGAGATCTGGTAGTTCTTGTCAGAAGAACTAAGCTTTCTGTGCTATGAAGAAAGTAATCAATAGTCAATGGGTTGCCCCAATGAGATGCTTGCTACCACACAGATGTATAAATGTACATGTACCGTAGCAACCTGTCAATACGTATGACATGCATGAGGTGATGTAAATGATTACCACAGTTACTGGGTTCCTTGCTTCCTGATGTTTCACTTTTTGTGTAATCCTTTTGTATAATGCCGCTGTTTTCTGCACTATCACACTGTACTTCTTCACAGGTTTTGTTGGGTGGCGTTGATCAAGTAATCAAGCCCACTTTCACTGGGCCAGTGTGGGCTGTCATTAAGGACAAGTATAAATCTCAGAAAGACCAGGTACCGTAGTCACTTGCTGGCTGTTTTCCTTATTAGTGTCTTGCATGGCTTTTCATTTCAGGCTGTTTTAGTTGGCATTGACAGACTGCCTAAAGCTACCTTCATTGGCCCAATCTGGAAAAATATCAAGGAAAAATTCAAATCACTGCCAAAGGTATTCACTCATCATGCCGCTCATCTGATCTTGTCCCATTAACCTTAACCTTGCTACACAGTAGACCAAGTATTAAACCAAGTTACAAGCTATTCAGATGAACCATGACAAAACCAGTCTGTCATTGTTTATTGTTTTTAATACTTGTGACTGGACTATGGCTGGACTTACGAGAGGACCTGCTACTGGACTTGTGAAATGACTTGTGACTGGACTTGTGAAGGACTTGTGACTGGACTTGTGAGGGACTTGTTACTGGACTTGGAAAGGACTTGTGACTGGATTTGTGACTGGACTTGTGAAGGATTTGTGACGGGACTTGTGACTGGACTTGTGAGGGACTTGTAACTGGACTTGTGACTGGACTTGTGAAGGACTTATGACTGGACTTGTGACCGGACTTATGAAGGACTTGTGACTGGACTTGTGAGGAACTTGTAACTGGACTTGGAAAGGACTTGTGACTGGATTTGCGACTGGACTTGTGAAGCATTTGTGACGGGACTTGTGAAGGACTTGTGACTAGACTGGTGAGGGATTTGTAACTGGACTTGGAAAGGACTTGTGACTGGACTTGTGACTGGACTTGTGACCGGACTTATGAAGGACTTGTGTCTGGACTTTTGACTGGACTTGTGAAGGACTTGTGACTGGACTCGTGTAGGACTTATGACTTGACTTGTGAAGGACTTGACGACAGTCCTGCTACTCATAGTGTGTAAGACTGAAATCCCTAACCTATTCACTCATCCAAGGTTGCTGCAGTGACTAATAATTGGTTTGCTTGAATAATTCTTCTTTCCATTTGATCTGGAACTTTTCTTGTCTTCTCTATTCAGCTGTGATCTGACTTGTTATAACATTTTACTTCTCGTGAAATTTTAATCCGATTTCAAAATGGGGATTGAGAACTTCTCAAGACCTGTTTTGAATTACTTTAATATTACACAATATTGTCCGATTATTAAAGATTGGAAGTTAAGACAGTTCTGACAAAATTCCTTAAATCACAATTGATCACAATTAAAACAGATCAGGTGCGTTTTCTTTGAAATCACCTGAAACAGATCCTATAGACTTAACAAATAAAAAGTGTTACATGAAGCAAAAAGAAATTTGCCATTGATACAAGAAACTTTGGTGGTAGTTTTGCTCTGTATTGGAAAGTTATCCCTAGAAATGCCAAATGGGTTTTCTGGATTGTATCAGTTGTCCTAAACTACTACAGTTTAAATTGATACAGTGGCTCTTTTTGAACTCAATGTGGATTTCCATTTTAGATGGTCTTTGCCTACCACAAGTACCACGTTAAAACTGTGAATTACGGCTGCTGCAGCCAATCTCAAGAAATCTGACATATTTTAACACTATTCATAGGCCATATGCCACATGATTGTGGTCTGGCTGTGAAATATGCATGTACTCGCCATTGAGTTTCAAAAAATTTGCTCAACTACATAATATTTGAATCATATTAAACTTCTTGGATGAGGATGATCACAGCTGTTCTGTGGCTGTTCCTTTTCAATATTACAGCAGTCATTAAACAGTTGTTAACCACATTGTGCTGGTTAGCTAGGTATCGGGTACCTTATGTTTGTATGCATAGCCTGGGAGCCTGAAATTGGACAAAGGAGCCAGGTCTTGTAATAAAAGAACGCTATCTGAACAAAAGAACGAGCTGCTGGGACCTAAAGAACATTTTTTTCAGTTGTCAGTAGCAGCGGTAATCTGCCCTTTTTTGGAAACACTATACCACTATTTGTGGCATTCAATACAAAGGATTACAACCACGGATGAAAGCTCTCCAGCGCTGCAGTGCTGAGCAACACAATACCGCTGCATGCTAATCTGGCCCCAGTGAAAAAGACGCAAGCAGCGAACTGCTCCAGTTTCGAGCACAAAAGAAAATCATACAACACCACACAATCTGGGCTCTCTTTACAAGGCAGCAAGCCTGGCTGAAATATACGGGCATCAATAGATGCTGTCTGTCAGATTAGAGTAGCCACCAGACAGTCATTCGTGTGGGTGTAAATGCCCAGTACATGAAGTAATGAATTTTTTGAAGAATTTTGAAAACGGATAATCTTGAAAAACGGTTGTTTTTGTGGACGGCCATTTTAATTTAACCCGGCAGCATATGGTTAAATTAGCTGCATCTTTTCGAAAAAGGTTTTGTCTTGTTTGGAACCAGGCATAAAATCTCAAAATTCTCTTACAGCCATATTGAGCTTTTCATTACCTCCAACAAGCAATGTTGTTCTTTCTCTTATAACTTTGTTATAGTAGGTATTGACAGCAAGTCTTTTTTAAGCTATCTAGGACTTGCCTTTCCAGCCTTTGTCAAATTCACCACCTTGGTTTACAGAGCACTTAGTTGATATTCCAACAGAACATACACAACAGAAATGGAGTTGGTCATACATGCACATGTAATCAGCCCTATCATTTCAATGTAAGGTGGCTCCAGTGCACTGAGTATGGTGTGAGTTGGTATAATATTGGGTGCTTTTATCCTGATCAAACTTTCATTAAAATGCAGAAATTGCTGTTTCTGGGGAACTGATTAGCAGATACTGTTTAATCTCTAAAAAATTAAGGTGGTTTTTATGAGGTCCCACGCATCAACTTTATGAACCTAGTATATATATTTTGTTGACAGAGCATGCTCTCTGAAAGACTATGTAAAGTCAATGTCTCTGGGACTGCATTAGAACCACTTTGCTCTTTTAGAGTTTCATGTGTAATGTATTTCCCGGTCATTTTCCATGTCATGACTGTGTGTCTGGCTTTTCTAACATTTGCACATTGCTGCTTTATATAGTTCTTGTGCCTTGAGCTCATATATGAGTGCACCAGCCTTTGCATCTTGAAGGTGCAAACTGTTTTGCCTCTCAATCATGTCAAAGAGAGAAAGTGGCTGTTTCTTTACATTATTTGAGATGACTCCCTATGCTTCTTTTTGTCTCTGTGGATCTTTACAATGACGATCTTAATTGAATCAAAATTTTGCTGAAAGGTTTATACTTTAAAACTGTACAGAAATTCAACTCATTTCATTTCGCTGTGTACGCAAAAGCCTTTAACTTGGAACTCACACCCTCAAAAACTTTGGAGCATTTTCAAGTACATGCAGCTCAGTGGTTGGTAAGAGAAGAAAGGTAATGGAATGCACCTGTAGGTTTTTCCCCAGCTCACATGTGTGGCAGTATACGTTGTTGTAGATATACTGTGTCCTTACAGAGGAATAGCGCCTCTGTGAAGTCTAATTTGACAGAGAAATTTGTTTACTGTAAATCGAGAGCTAGAGGGAGGGCAGCCCTTCATAAGCTCACTAAATATTATGAACCTGAAATCCTTCCACAAATGCAGATGTTTAAAAGAAATGTGCAGTTTTACCAGTGTGCATCTGAACACCTTTGTTTCCATGACAGGTGACACCAGAGGAGCCATTGCCCATCCCGTCTCCTCCAGAGGAGGTAGGTGAGGATTATGTCGGTGCCAGAGGGGAGAATGGAGACATGGGCGACTCAGGAGACATTGAAGACTCAGATGAGGAGGATTTTGCCGATGAAGATGAAGACGATGAAGAGTTTGACGAGGACATGGACGAGGCAGAATTGATGGATCAATATGCCAAACACCGGACAAAGTACGAGAAGCAAAAAGAGCGGAAAGAAAAAGGAGAGGAAGGGGAAGAAATGCCGGAATACGATGAATCAACCAAGAAGCTCATTGAAGGTACAGTACCTGAACCTAGACATGGGCCAGTTGTATCCGTGCAGAGAGGTAACAAAAGAGGGCGTGTGTTTAAATAAAATTGACAGCCCCATACACTCTCTCACTGCGCGCAAGTTCATGCGTGTTTGGCGCGGTACGCTGACTACCCACAACAAATTTATGCTGGAATGTATAGACTTTGCGTGCATGCCGAACGTGTGCAAGAACGTGGTTGGAAAACTTAGTACCAGTCTGTCTGTCTTTTGCTGGTGAGGGTGCACTTCAACTCAGGGCAGATAACCTGTGGCAACAACCTCATCAGGTTGTAGAGAGCAGCACTATATGGCTTAATTGTGAGAGACAGGGTAGGGGAAGTTGGCAGTATACACGGACATGTACTTGTGTAGTAAAAATTGTGTGTGGGTTTTTAAGTTTTCAGTACAGGTTATTCACAGTGCACTGCCAACAGGTTACCACAGACAAGCCATTTTTAAGTTTGAAAACATGGCAAACTTGAGGGATTTGCATTTGAGTGAACTTCAGTTGATAACTTGGGGAACTTTTTGATAGATTAGGGTATTCTCCTCAATAAAAAAAGACAGAATTAGTTAAAACTGGCACTCAAATTACTCCTACGAATCTTGCATCCAGATGAACATTCTATAACAGTAGCTGTAATGTATGTTGCTAGCAATGTTTAACCACTTCCTGCCGGGCGACCCGATTTCGAGTACATAGGCTTTATATGCAGAGGTAAGGAGCCTGGAACTGGGACAAAAGAGTTGGACCGTGCTTAGCACAAAAGACTGAGCTGCTGGGCATTACCAACAATTTTTCGCTCTCAGTAGTGGAATAATCCAGCCTTGTTTTGAAACAGTATACCACAGTTTGAGGCATTTAGAGCGAGCGGATTACCACCGGGGACAAAAGCTCTCCACCTCCGCAGTGATGAGCCACACAACACCGCTGCACGCTAATCTGGCCCCTATTGAAAAGAGGTCAGCAGTGCACTGTGCCGGTTTCGGGAACAAAAGAATCTTACGTAACACCGCACAATCTGGGCTTTTTTTCCAAGGCTGCAGGCCTGGCTGAAATATTCAGGAGTCAATGAAGGTTACCTGCCTGCTTTAGAGTAGTGCCCAAAGAGTCTTTCATGTGTGCAGAAATGATGAATTTTTGAAGAATTTTGAAAACGGAAAATCTTGAAAAGGACCTGGCATCTTTTCTTACTCAAGGAAAATCCACCCGGCAGCAAGTGGTTAAGTGTAAATGACTCAATGAAAAATGGGAAACTTGAGAAGTACCTCAAATGTGAAATATGGAAGGAAATGAACACACACACTGAGGAAACTCCGGAAATTTCACTGCTACCATTTCTTTTTGTAAATCGACGTTTTGGACTAGAATTGTTGACCCAAAATGCTCATACAGAAACATTCGGGAGGCAGGCCAAGGCTGCCACATATTTGAATGGGAAGGAGCTGCGAATGGGTGCATTGGTGACTAATTGCTGTACTGAATGGCAGCTATGCTGAACATTTTGTGTGGACCTTGTTAATGTTGTTATAGCTTGGACTTGGAAACAACATGAATGGCAACTCAATTGAATAAAAAAATAACCCACTGTGCATGCAAAAGCAAATTTTGATATCAAGAGTTGAATTCATTCATTTGCCTGTTTTTGATTTACAGTTGCCAAATAATGTTAACATCTTAAAGAAATTCCTCAATTGAGTTCCTTGAGAGCTGCCATGTTGTGTACATGTACGTGATTACATCTGTGTGACATAAAGTACACGTTAGTGACACTCATTTGAAAGTCAGCAAATTCTGATATCAAAGAGTTGAATTCATTTGTTTGGCTGTTTTGTTGTTCCTTTCAGTTGCTGATGCTGCTCGGAATGAATTCAAGGAGGCAGAGAAGCAAGTTGATGATTTGAAGAAATCAATTGAAGATCTAGAGAAGCTGCTAAGCGTAGACCTGGGGCCACTGCAAGAGTTTGAACCATTACAGAAACAATGCTATGAGTTCACAGATAGAGAGTAAGCCACCGTCAACGATTCAATCCGTGTTGAATAAGTGTTAGTGTAGAATTAGGCCGGCCCAGCAAATCATGTGTTGCTATCACACCCACACACAAGTTATTTGGTTGTTAACTGAACCCACAGCTTGGTAAGCTGTAAATATGCTTTTTTTTAGAGTTGCCAGGGAATAATACAAATATGCTCAAGAAAGCCAGTGACATCTTGAAGAAATTCCTCAATTTGGGTCTATGCGTGCGCCATATGCTCTTGGTTGCATCTGTGTGGCATAAAATACGCTTTTGTGGTAGTCATTTGAAAGTAAGCATACCCACAGAGTCTTTGCTTGAATTAATAGAATATGGTAGCAATGGCTTTTTGTATGTCTGCCTAGCTTCCTGCGTTAGCAACGTTGAGGGGGTATTGTGCACTTATCAAACCAACTGCCGTTAAGGCAAGGAGCCATTTAATGTTAAAAATCCTTGATACGTGGCAAGTTGGTTCTTTCAGTGCCCTTCATACCCTCATATGAAGAATGACCGAATAGTTCATGCCATGTCCAGTATAAAAGATAAAGATGTGGTTGTTACATCAGGAAGGAAAAAGAGTTATGTTTAAAAACGAAAAAAGAAGCCTGAAACGAGATGTTACCATTCACCAATGTTTGAGTTACAGCGATGTCACTGTATCTTAGACTGAAAGTCTCCTATGCAGACATGTAGTTGCAGCCTGTAATGCCATTAACATGCACTTCTTGAACAAGAGTCACATAAGTAACTTCATGTAATATTTGCCTTGTCTACAGGTATACATATAAACTGTGTCCATTTGATAGAACAACACAGCGGCCCAAATCTGGCGGTTCAGAAACCCAGTTAGGGTGAGTGTCATACATGTTTGAGCTTCCGATGCACATTTTCTAATGTGGTTTGCCGGCTGAGCATGTAGCCTGTGCATAGAGTGATTAGATGTTCCAAACACTGATCAGCAGACACTTCAGAGTGACTGACAGAGCCATCGGATGGGACCAAGAGGCAGTTGAATACTTAATTGAAAGAAGGGCCCAATTCTAACAAAACCTTTTTTGAGTTCAAAAGAAAAAAACTGAATATTTTTTGAAGGAGTTGCAAAGGAAATCAATTAACTCTCCTAGGCCACAATGGTGGAGTTGGGCGTCTCTTTTAATGAGGTATGGAATTATTTGCTGAGAGGGGGATTGCCTTGCCATTTCTTGAATTTCTCGGCAGCTTCCCCCTGTTGTTTCAGTGTAGTAAATTCCGAAGGTCCATGCAATAGACATGGATTCAATATCTTAGGTCTGGTCTAGCAATACTTAAATCTGCATCAAGAGGTGGGATTTTTAGTGCTGTTTTTCTTTTGTTTGTCTGTCATGCCGTATGCGTGCCATGTGGCAGAATCATTAAATACTCCTCTGTCATTCGACGAGAGAGTCTCTTGTGTTGGCAACCTTTAGAAGCCTTCCTGTCAAGAAGTCACCATGCAAAAAAAATTCACATCAATGTTTGCGAATTCAAAGTGACTACATTTGAGTAAAATTTAATGAAATTCAGTGATAAGAAATATTTATGGGGCTACAGATGTGTTCCATCTTTTGAGGGGAATGGAAAGCATGTCTATCAGGTTATTAGCTGTATCACAGCGCCATATACCATGTCTAAAGGGCGACCATTCATTCATCATTAGACCAAGAACCATCGTCTAGTTGGTTCTAATGTACTGTTTTTGTGATGCAGGCACAAGCCATGTCATATGGTCAGCAATTCACTAGAAGGATTTTAAAGATTCATTAGGGTCTTATAAATTGTCTCCTTTTTTGCAGGACGTGGGGCCAGTGGGAGGGGCCACCTGAGAATAAATACAGCCAGATGAAATACACCAGGGGTAGAAACTGCTGGAATGGGCCTGATAGGTCCACATTGGTAAGATGCTTTGGATACTTGGATACTAAGTGAGAAAGCATTTCCTTCCTCCTTATTCGTTTGTGCTCAAGTTATTTAATAACTTGAAATAAGAAATAACCAGGGAAAGTATGCCCTACTCACATGGTGGGGTTCACTTTTATTTGGGGCATCTGCCCCCCTTCGTAAATACCGGCACCACCCCTTTTGTAAATTTTAGATCTGCCACTGTAGAGAATGCTGGACACCTAAAACATCCTTGTTCCCTCGAGACCATTTCATTTCTCGGCCATAACTGCGGCAAAGTGCCCTCCTTAAGGACACAAAAGAAGGACAGCAGCCCTTGGGACAAAGAAAATTCAAAAACAAGGATTTTGCTTTGTAAGCACTGTACTTTCCGAACCCGTTTTTTGAGAAAAAACGTCATGAAATGACTCACTTAAACTCTTGCAGAAAGGATGTGATCCAGGTAATCAACTAATGGTTAAAGTGTAATTCAACAGCCTGTATTACTGCGTAACTAGCCGTTACTGCGGTGCCACAACGCTCATGGACAGGTAGTACACGCACATTACAAGCTTCCTTGTTATGAGTTGCCAGTACACTAACCTAAAGAATGTGGGTGTGAGTGCAGTGCTACCACAGTTATGGTGTCTAATCAGATTACTCTATGTGCAGTTTGTCAAATTTTTGTCAGTTTGATTGACTTTTGTTCTGGTTTTCTTCCCCAAGGTTAATCTGCGCTGCGGCCTGGAGGACAAGCTTGTGGCGGCCAGTGAACCAGAACGATGCACTTACGAATTTCAGTTTGAAACACCTGCACTATGCATAACGAAAACAGACTTGGAGACAGGAGAAACAGATAGCCATGATGAACTATAACCATGGATGTTATTAGTGGGGGTGGGGGCTTTATGTAGAAACTATGAGATGTCCTCTAACAAGATCAAGTTTGTTTTCTGTGCCTGCATTTGGGGTTGTTACACAGGTCTTTTTTTGGGGGGGGGAGTGATTGCTTGACCACTTTTTTAGGGGGTTAACGACTTCCTGCCGGGGCAGTTATCAATGTTGATGATGTTGGGCCAGGATATTTATCATTTTTTTTCTGTTTTCAAAATTCTTTAACAATTCCTATCTTCATTTACTGGATGCTTACAAACATGTGAAGGACTGTCTGGTGTCCACTCTAGCCTGACAGACAAAATGTATTGACGCCTGAGTATTTCAGCCAGGCCTGCAGCCTTGTAAAAAGAGCCCAGATTGTGTGGCGTTATATAACTTTCTTTTGTTCACAAACTTGGCTCAATGTGCTGCTGACGTCTTTTCAATAGGGGCCAGATTAGCATGCAGCAGTGCTGTGTGGCTCATCACTGTGGCAGTGGAGCGCTTTTGTCCACAGTGGTTATCCACTCACTCTAAATGCCCCAAACAGTGGTATACTGTTTCAAAACAAGGCTGGACTATCTCCACTTTTGAGAGCGAAAAAATGCCGGTAATTCCCAGCAGCCTGGTCTTCTGTTCCAAGTACGGTCTTTTGTTATAAGGCCCTGTACCTTTTGTCCGAATTCGGAGACCCCAGCCACGCATATAAAGCATATGTATCCGGATCCGGAATCCCCGGCAGGGAGTGGTTAAAAGGGGTTTGGAGAGGGTCCAAATTGAATCAGAGAGTGAATGAAGTAAACTGCACTTTGTAACCCCGGTGATTCTGGAGCTTTCAATTACCAATCAGGTCTGAGAGGATTAAGCAGGGTTGAGAAGATGCAGCCCAGCCACTGTTATATTACATGAGGTGGCAGGCATATTGAAAGTTCAAGCACCGGGAATGTTCCATGACATTGCTGCATGGTATAGGTAGAACATTAATAAGAGTCTTAGCACACATGGGAGGGGTTAGGGTTGACCAGGTGTAGTGGCAATTGTTTTGCCTGTCCATAATGCCTGTGTTAGGCTGAACTTTCCTGCCTCCCTATCTCTTATGGTCGGTAAATTACAAGAACATCCACCTTGGCAATTCAAGCATGTAACAGGGAACCTTTGGCATGATAGAGACGGCAGAGCTAAAGCGAGAGGTTAGGTCAAATTTGACGACCTTAACTCAGTGGAATGGTACAAAGCAGCAACGTCCAACATTCTGTTGGTTTCTAAGTTGAGCTGTATATCTCACTTTTTGTAGTTGAACAATTGAAGCTGAGCTCCGAAGTATACATGTATTTCTTGCTTTTTATAGCCTAACAAGCTGAACTCACAAGATCATTGCATGCTCTGAAAGCTCCATGTTTGAGGAAATGTCTTGGTATTTCTGGTCAAGACTCCTCCAAATAGACAAAGTCTGGTAAGCACAATTAGCAACCATAGTCAGGTGCAACATACTAGTATCAAAGGCACACAAGCATTTTGACATGTAAGCATTGTACAGGAGGAAACACCAACCAGACACAGAGAGGCTTAGCAGACCTCACACCATTGATGCATGCATCGCACATTTTATGCACAGGGTTTGTGGGCTTTATGGCACATTTGTATGAAACTGTGCACAGACCTGGAAATGAAAAAAAGGAGTACATGTAGTTATCATGTATATTTGTGCACCACAGTAGTCATGTACAGACATGAGAGACAACACATGCACGTGTACTTTGTATGGTCAGTAGTACATGTATATGGAAGACGGTGGATATTAACAGTTATCACACGAGTAGGTGTGGAACACGTAACAGTTGTTGACCACTGTGGTGTGGGATATGACGTTCTGAACATCCGAGGGAGGCATAGCGCTCTGAGGCAAAGCCCAGGATGCTATGTGGAATTTATCCAAAGAAACAAGCTCTGAATTTCCGAAGATGACAGATCTACTGTCAAACTGTACAATTAACCTATAAACAGACATATTTATCATCTGCAAATGCACTGTTCGCTCACTTCCTTTAATTGCGTTAACATTAAAGTGAAACTAGTGCGGGTACCAGTGAGTACATGTTTAGTTAGCAGTCCCCACATTACCTTGTACACAGCAGGGATGGTAACTAGTCTTGTAACACAGGCGCGATCATTGATCGAATTTCCTGGTAGCCTATGCATAAAACATATTATGGGTACCACACAAAACTGGCTAAAGGAGCAGAAATGTTTATGCTGGAACTTTCCAAAGCTCTTCTGTCTCGTGCATGTGCGTGTGCACACACTATTGGCAGAAAGATATCTCACGGTGTGATATGCGGATATATCGCCCTGTCATATGATCGTTTTAGGCCAATAAATGGACATTATCCAAGACAAAGGTATGACAAAGAATGATGATGTGCGTCAGTGTCCCAAATACCATGAGGTTGAAGGCTGAGTGGTATACGGGACACAGATGCACTACATTATTCTGTGTTCCACAAGTGGCGCTGGAACGAATTTATCTTCAAGCAAACTTGACACGCAGTGCCACCTTTGAATTTACAGTAAATTTTGCAGTTGTGCATTTTGCTTTTAATGTAGATTTGGCCCAGTGCGTTGAGTTAGAACGGCGCATTACGCAGGGTTTAACATGGACCATGCAACACAGTTAAATGTTACTCCGTGGCCATGGATCGACCAACCAGAATTGAGAATTCAAGTTTGCCTGAAGATAAACAACATAATGTGTACATGTGAAAATAAAGGCTTGCATACAGTATACCAGCGCATGTGTTCACATGACAGAACATGAAAAACTGGATTGTTATATGTAGTATAAAAATAAGTTTTATGAATATTCAGCAGCATAGTCATAGGAACAACTGCATATACACTGTGTGGGTCCATTGATGCATCATGGTGAGATTAAAAAAGACATCTCCTGTTCATGCTTGAATTGCATTGGTTGAAGCAGCATTGAATTCCATCAATGATTTCTAGTTGTGGTCACTGGATGGAACTGCATGTATAGGGAAAATGTGCATTAGCATTATGATGTATTGTCCAGAGTGGAAACACTTAAAATTGTTTGAAACAAAGCCATTTAACTTCTTTCAGCTTCAAGGCTGAATAAATCACAGTTTGATTTCAGAATTCAATAACCTTGTCTCATTTACTTAATTTAAAACCACACTGTGAACGTGTGCATGCTGAAGGACCAAAATCCTCAACAGAGGTCAAAATTCACAAACATGCTGTGATTTTTTTTTCTCCTTCACAGAAGGAGATATGATGTGGTTAAACTTGAAGCATTTATCACAGCTGGAACGTGCTAACAATTCAGAATTGCTAAAGTTAGTGTGCTCTGGTTCTGTTTACCAAAGAGGGTCCAAGCAGAAGCTGATGTTCGTGGCAAACCGTCTCTCTAATTGTTACACATTGTGGGAATCTAGTATGGCATATAGTGTAAATAGCCTAGCTTTGACTTCTTTTAGAATTTCTGAATGGTTTTCATTTTTCTTTCTGGCTTCTCTCCTGACATTAGATAACAACATTGCCAACATGACTACATCATGTATTCGATGGGGGGAAAATGATTTTTCAGGCAAAATAAATCTCAGTGGAAACTGCAGGGGGCTAACATTGTGCATTGCATTGGTCCTGCGAGGGCATTCCTTATCAGAACATAGAGGAAGGACACAGGAGGAGTTGCAACTCAGGCACTTCAAAGTGTTCAATGATTGTCACCACCGAGTCGGACGAATAACAGAAGACATCCAAAAATGCCAGATTACAGGCTGCATCTTAGCCGGACAAGCAGGGCCAGTAATATCCTACCAATTCTTGTAGTTTTTGCTTGCAATTAAATACAAATTATCGATCTGACCAGGAAATAGAGAGAGAAAAATTCCTGGTATTAGACCTACTTTTGCCATCGTAAATAAACTTTTTAAATTTTGATACACTGTTCATTATCCATGCAAAGTTATGTAATTTTATTCTCCGTCCAATACATCAGTGTTCAAAGACTTGGTACGAATTTGGCTAAGACTGGCCAACAAAATATTCACTACTACTGGAAAGCTTAGTTCATGAGGAACAAAATGTGCTATTTCATCACAGAGTGATCATGAAATCTCATAAAATAGGCTTTTGTACAAATGCCATAATAAAAATGATTCAAACAAAACGCTAAATCTTGTAAAAAGCCGGACTATTTATTCCTAAAATAACTCCAGAAGAAATAGATCATGAAGGGCAGTGACTGCACTTACAGATTTAGGGCACACAGTGTAATGCAAGCAACTGTGCAAGCATTAAATATGATGTCATGAGATCATACCGAGCACCAACAAAGGCATGAATATTTAATGTCCTATACCTCAGTACATGAAGGTTTAAGGATGCAGATTACCAATGACAAATTGCGGCGGTGATCATAGGCAACAAAGGGGTTTCGTGGTAGTGAAACAGATGGTGCGTAGCAAGCGTTCGCTGCGCTCTGGCTATGGACATACCAGGCATGCCAGAAAGCGGTAATTGGCCAGATGTTACAGCCAGAGCAGTTCAAACTCCTTCTGTGTCCTTCCTCTATGGTCAGAATAAGGTTAAAACAACTCTGCCTATGGAATCACTTAGTGGCAGCCAGTCAAAGTCTTTGGTTGAATACCATCAGCTGGGTCTGTATAGTGACAGTCTGATTTCATTCTGAAGCCATAATCACAGACCTGATCATGGCTGATCCTTGTATGGTAGTCATCAACTGAAGCTAAGACTAAACAGCCATTCCTCTTTGTGACTAACTCCTTTAAAAATAACTTGAAACTGTGCCAGTCAAAAGATTACTGCAATTTTGCAGATGCAGCGATGATGATATGAAAGATATTGAATACTCGCTATGAGCAAAGCAATATTTTCAGGTCTTTGAAAATGTATATCCACTTTAAAAGAAACCCAATCCCCCATATTACCTTGCAATGGCTGAGGAGAATCACTGATCGTATTAATAGTTTACAGTTTTTCTATTTGACTAATTTGATTGTATAAAACGGAATGTAAAGCTATTATAAATATTCAATGCAATTCAAAATTGTGATTTAATGTCCTAAGGCTGTAGTGATTCATTCACTTACCTGTACATGTATGAAAGAAATGGGAAATAAAGGACATGTATAGAATGAGGGGAACAGTCCTGTAAGCAAAACATGAGTTATTAAAGCCAGTGATAAAAAGAAACCGCATTGCACAATGTTTGTTTTCCACTAATTAACTTGACTTTCTGTAAAGGAATGGAAGGTGTATGTGTGTGTTGAAGCAGAGGCGCATACTTGTTCCATTGGGACTACACACACAATTATAGTTCTTGTGGGGACCACACAATTGCGAGGACATGATGGTCTACACGATTGAGTGCAGCTTTTCCTCATAATATTTCCCACTGCTCAGTCCCAACCAGGGCATGGGTACCGTCTTGACTCAATGTGGTGCTTGTCCGAAGCAACCACACACATACAAACGAGTGATTTATGGAGATGGTGAAAGCTGGAACTTGATAGCATACCTGAAGCAGACCTAGGAGAACTTTTACAAAAGTAGAGGAACTTGTTAAATATTCACTCGGTACCTTTATGGCCTATAATAAACTTTCTATTTTATTACCTCCTCTAAATTTTTGAGTTGTCTTCAGTTATTGGTGCATTATGATGTCTGTGAAACGATTATGATGTTTAAGAAATTTCAATGCTGGAATTAGGGTGGTTTCGGCAAGTCCGTTTTTACCCTGTGGAGGTAATGGTTGAAGTGAGTCATTTCAGATCAACATGCCATTCTTTGTGCACTTCAAATACTGTAATTTGACAGTGAATCCATTCCACAGAAAAACAAGTGTAAAAGAAAGTTGGAATACTTGACAAAACTTTCACACAAAAAAGTCCCCATGTCTTGAAGTTTACAATTTTTTC